TCGCTGCTCCCTGCTTCTTCTCCTCTTCTCCTGAGCTCTGATCAGGGCCCTTGCCCTGCTGTAGCTGAGCTTTCAGCGCCGCAGCGCGCTCGGACGTGCTTGGCTTCGCAGGTGAGCCCGGCTCCTCTTCGCTTGTAGCGTCTTCCGACTCATCTTCTTCCTCCCCTTCCTTTCCCGCAGGAGTGCAGGGGGAGTTGGAGACTTCTGCGTCCTCGGACTCGCTGCTGCTCTTCTTCTTCCCCTTCGCTGCTTTGCTCTTCGCTTTCTCTGCTGCTTTCTCCTCCTTCACTTTCTCTGCATCTGTTTTGTCCTGCTTTGCCTCCTGCTCCTCGCTGCTCTGCTTCTCCTTGTCCTTCTTATCGCGCTTCTTCGCCTGGCAGAGGGGCGAAGGTCGATGGAATTGCTGCATCTGCACTTATACTGCGCGCGCGAGATATATATGTGTGTATATATATATATGTGTATATATATATATATATGTGTATATGTGGCACGCACGCCCGCGCGTTGTCTATATATATATATATATATATGTGTAAATGCCGCGCTCAGGCCGCTCGACGGCGTCCTCCGGGCCGCAACCGCGGAGGATCGCCTGCCGCCCCACCGGGCCGCGGCCGCAACCTCGCCGTGTTTCTCCCAAGGCGTCCTCCGGGCCGCAACCGCGGAGGATCGCCTGCCACCCCACCGGGCCGCAGCCGCGGGGTGTGCGACAACGACGACTGTTTCTCTCAAGGCGTCCTCCGGGCCGCAACCGCGGAGGATCGCCTGCCACCCCACCGGGCCGCAGCCGCGGGGTGTGCGACGACGACGACTGTTTCTCTCAAGGCGTCCTCCGGGCCGCAACCGCGGATCGCCTGCCGCCCCACCGGGCCGCAGCCGCGGGGTGTGCGACGACGACGAGGCCGCAACCTCGCCGTGTTTCTCCCAAGGCGTCCTCCGGAGGTTCGCCCGCCTCCCCCCCCCCACCCCCCTGGACCGCGACCGCGTGGCGCGTATAGCGACGACGTGGCCGCAGCCTCGCCGTGGCTCTTTATTATATGGCGTCCTCTGCGGCCGCAGCCGCTGAGGCTGCCTCGCGGCCGCGTCGAGGAGGGCGCGTGAGCGCCGCGTGATGTATATATATATATATATATAGGTTGCGCGCATATGTATTAAATGTATATATGTGGAAAGTGCCGCCAGCGACGCGAGCGCGATGCCCGCCTTGGCTTTCTTCATCGCGGCCCGCTCGGTGGGCCGAAACGGCTGCGGCGCGTACACGTGAGTGGAACGAGCGACGTGACGAGATGACCCTCTCAGCCAATATATATATATATATACACCGTAGACACATGAAAATTGACCTTGCTGTGTATATATTTACACACAGTGCATCTAGGTAAAAGTGGAGAGCATGGTATCAGGATGATCCAACTACTCAAAGGACCGCGCATACTTTGCACTGAGATCCCGATGTGCTTCCATGGTTTACGAACAGAGAGTTCGGCGTGATCAGATGATGATCCGACGGAAAGTCTTCGCCCGCGACTGTATGAAGAAACGCTACAGCAAGGAGAACGAGAAAGCGGAGCTTGCCCGGATGCCCCTACCGCCTGCAAACGTCGCCCCCAACGACAGCGGCCTGCCGGCGCCAACCTTGAGTGAGCGAGCAAAGATGGCGGAGGCCTGGTGCAAGCACGGCTCTTGGCAGATCTGCGAAGGCTGCAGCAGCGTCCGGCCGCGGCCGCTCCAGCCCGTGGATCTTCGGAGCGTCCGGCAGCCGACGATCAAGAAATGTCTCCTGTGCCGGCGTGGCGTCTACGTCCCGCAACCAGAGGATGTCCCGGAAGCGTTGCGGAACTTGCCGGATGAGGTAGTCAAAGCGCTGCGGCCTGTGGAGGTAGACAGTGGCCGCTACGAGCGGGCGGAACACGGCTACCGGGTCCACACAACGATGATTCGCTTTGCGTGGGCGGCCGAGAGCGTCGGCGCCAAGATCCAGGCGCTGGAAACGCACGGTCTGCGCAGCAAGGCGCGCAAGGCCTTCCGCTACCTAGCCCGGTCCGACGACAGCGCCTACGGCGACTTCGTCGACAAGCACGAGGAATTCTTGGAGAAGCATCCAGGAGCGCCAGAGCAAGTTCGGAAGAGGCCTTTGCGGCTCATCGAGGAGCAGGGGCTTGAAAACGCCGTTTGGCCGCATCTCTACTGGCACAAGAACCTTTGCGAGACGGTCGTCCGCGCCACAGACGAGCGTCGGCGCGTCCGGACGGGCCTCTCGGACGAGGAGGCGCTGGAGGAGGCGAGTGACGCGGCGGACGACGGACCGGCGTTGCGCAAGGGGCGCCACAGTGTCCGACGCAGTTGGATGAAGAAGGTCTTCAGCCCGGTTGTTGGCTATTCAGAGGACTTTGAGTTGCTCCACTTCGTGTACGATCTGGTCCTGTGGAGCAACCTGGGTGGCTGCAAGAACGCGACGCGCGGCATGCCCCTCCGCCTAGCCGTGAAGGGCTCGCCAATCTTCCCAGAGTACTGGCGAGTCCGACACCAAGGTCTGATCGATATGCAACGGCAAGCGGGAGCGCCAGCGCTGTTCCGGACGCGCGCGCCCTACGAGCGCTCCTTCCCTGAAATCCGGAAGTGCGCACGTACGTGAACCGGGTCCAGCCCCCTTGTAGACGCACTTGCGCTGACAGGCCGCCGGAAGGAGTCGAGGAGCTTGCCGCCGCAGCGGGCCGCTTCAGCACGGTCGGCTTCGGTGGATCCTGAGACTGACCTTTGGCCGCAGCCGGTCGCTTGAGCGCCGAAGCTGTCTGCTTTTTGCCGGGTCTTTTGTATACCTTCGGGCTGCCTGCGCTGGGGACGCCTGGCTGCTCGCGTTTGCTCTCGGCAATGCGATCGCCTAGTATGTTGGCGAGGGAGAGCACTGTGTGCGTCGTCGTCAGGTTCACGTCCCCCTGCGCGTTGGCCGCGGGCGAGCGGCCTCGTGCGTCTTGCGACTCTGGCCCCGCACGCGCGGCCTCTTGCGCCCTCGGGCTCGCCGTGTCGAGGCCCTGGCTCGAGCTCGCCAGTGCGGACTCCACCGCGTCTTGCCTTTCACTTCGAGCAGCGTCCTCAATCTGCAGAGGACGGGGATTTCCAGTGGCTTGCGCTTGGCCGCGCGCGGCTGCTATGGGCGCGCGCGCCGCATTTGGCCTCTGGATGATCTCTATGTTGGCCGGCGGTGGCTGCGGCGGCAAGGGAACCCTGGCAGACATCATCTGCATTAACGCGGCCCCCGCAACGGCCATAATGTCTCGTCCTGCATGAGTGGACTGCTGCTCTGCGCTCACAGACGCATTGCTGACTCGAAGGGGCACGCGGCTCGCGAGCACGCTGATGGCGCCCGTATCAAAGGGTCTCTCTCCCTCGCCCGCCGGACGGTGCTCGCCATAGTTGGCCTGCAGGTGGGCAGGCAAGCCCTCGAAGGTCAAAGGCAGAGCCGCCAGGAGCCCGCGAGTGGTAAAATGGGGCTCTCGTGCGTACCTTCTTTGGCACTGCTTCCAAGTCGTTTTCACGACTTGGTACATGCTGTGAAGCTGAAAAGAGCTCTGCCGTCCGGAGTCTGCTAGGCACAGCACTGCCGCAACAGTGGCGAGAGTGAGCTCGGTAGGCAGGCTCAGCCCGAGCAGCTGATGCAGCGCCTCCAGCAAGCCCTCCGCTTTCTCGCGGGCTGAGCCACGCCCGGCGCAACATGCCCACACGTGCTGCGGAAGGAGAGCTGGAAACGCGGAGAAGTCCTGGTTTGGGCGTCGCGCAGCCCGGTCCGTCCTGGGAGCTCCGTCGTCGGCCATGGCAGAAATGCACAAAAGAGCACTAGATGGCTGCGCTAGAAAGCCCCCGCAAACATGACCAAATGCTACCTCAGACATGAAAAACGGCCTACGCTAGCAAGAAAACACATAATTTCCATGCGACACACAGAATGTCTGCTTTGTCCTCTTTTCATGGAGGCTTCGCGCGGCCATGGATTTCAAAAAAACAAAATCCACAGTGTTCGTAAGTTCCCCGTAAGTTCTCCGTAAGTTCCCCGTAAGTTCCCGGTAAGTTCCCCCTCTTAAGTTGCATAAGTTGCCTAAGTTCTCCCCAACTAACTTGTATGTGAACCCTGAAGCTGGGGGAACTTAGCCAACTTGTGGTGTGCATGAGTAACTTGCATGTTAAGTTGCAAGTTAGTTGATGTTAACCTCAAGCCAAGCGGTGTATTTAGTGCCAGCTCCATCGGGACCGCCATGTCATTGGCCCTCCTGCTTCGAATGGTTCTCCAAGTCCATGCAAAGAACCATCTTCTTCTGCGTCGACAGCTCCTTCTTGCGCCCTTCTCGCGCATCCGGCCCCTGGCCGCTGGCGAGGAACCTGCTCCAGGTCTCCAGCAAAGCATCTGCAGCCAATAGACGACTCCTTGTGGAGGGTGTGACGGGGTGCTGCAGTTTCCTCACTTTGGGCACCTGATCAACCAAGCGTCCCTTTTCCGGGTACGCAGTGCGGCGGACATCTTACCGTTGAGTGTGAATGTGAGCACGGGCCAAGCTTCGAAGCTCCATGTAGTTGTAGCTTACAAGGTTTGGCGGCTAGATTTGCTCTGCAGATCAACGTGGTCTTTGTAGAGAATCTCCTGTAAGGGGCCCGTATCGGGCTGCCATGTCAAGTTGCGGTCAATTATGGCTTCATGATGGGAAACCAGCTGCTTTGCAGGCTCGATGTTTGATCATGCGCGGGTGCGCATGCTTGGTCAACTATAGCAAAGGAAAATGGGCACAACAAAGACGGTTTCATGCTCCCTTGGCTTCGTAACTTTCGCCCGGCGAATAAAACAAAGACGAATAAGATCACAAAAACGAAGAAACATCAGAAGAAGAAGAAGAAGAAGACACATATGGAATAAGACTGTAGAAGAGTATAGAGGAAGAGGAGGAACAGACCCCCCTGGGTGGAGTTCGCGCAGTTTGGGGGTGGGGGCGCCTGGGCCTGGCGAAGGAATGAGTGAGGCGCAGCCGGAGCTTGGTGACGCAGCTGCGAAATTGGGGCTCTCCGGGTCGTTGTTTTTTCCATAGAGGAAGACATCCAGAGCAAAACTTTGGATTTTTCTTGTATTGGCCACAAACGTAACTTTTGTTGCGGGGGGGGTTCAGCAGGGTTGGGACTGCATTGAACCACGTTTTTGTTTGAGCGACCTCAACCCACCGCTGTGCGGCAAAAGTTGTCGCCGAACCGGCCTATTCCACCAACCTCCTTTGTCTGTCCGTCTGTCCGTCTGGGTCCCGGGGTCTGGTGAGAAAATGAACGATCAGCCCTAGGGTTAAAGAAATGCGTGCTGTGTGCTTGAGCTGTCTCGTTTGTGGGAGGGGGCGGCTTTGGGGCCCTTAATGTGTGGGGGTGGAACAGGGGTTGGGCCCCTTTTTCATTTTTAGTTTTATTTGGTGGGTGGGTGGCTGGGTGGCTGGGCGGATGGGTGGCTGTGTGGCTGGTGGGTGGCTGGGTTGGGCTGACCCTTAGTTGAGACATGCTTCAACATCCGTTGATGAAACAACCTGCTTCTGGGCCCGTCTGAAGGAGCCCGGGGCTGGTTATTTAAGCAAAATTTGCCTATGCCTGGGAATTAACGTATTGGGTTTTTGAGCCGTTTGTTGGTCTTAGCTTTTGTTGAGCCTTTTGTTTTTTCCTGGGAGGGGGCGGCCATGTTTGAGCATTCTTGGGCCTCGGGGTGTTCGAGCCTTCGTGCCCCTCTTTGCATTTGTTCAGGGTTTGGGTCTTTAGCCTTGGTGGTTTTCCAGAGGTGGTTTGCGCCAAGGGTTTGATGCTCAGGATGTTGCATGGTTTTGGCAGTCGTTGCTTTCGGCAGCCTGAGGTGAGTTGCGCCAGCTGTTGAGATGTGCCTTGGGCCGAGCGGCGGATGGATGGCTGCAGAGGGAGCTCAGCCAGCTGAGGCCAGCGGAGTGTGAGGAACTCGTTTCCGAAGGTCTGGTGGCCCGAGCTGAGACAAGTGAGGACAGGGTTCATTGCCTTTTAAAGCGAGCTCACCAGTGGAATTTGTCAGTGGGGAAAAACGAGCTCGCCAGGGTTCAGGCGCTTTACTTGTGGATTGCTTGCTTTCGGGGTTCGGAACTATTGCTTTTTTTTGAGGGGGGTGTTGCGAAAAGATGACCGCCGCAAAGGGGCAGAAATTGGGTGAATGGCTGCCTTTGGGTTTCCCTTTGTCACGCCCCATGTCTACCTTAGCCCTGATTCTTTGGAGCAACACCGGAGGAGGTGCCAGCATCAGGTGGCCAACCTCCTGACCCTGCGTCTGAAGTAGACGGTGGCGAACCTGGGCTTGAGCATGAGGAGCCGCAGATGCCTGCAGCAACTCGGGCAACATCTGACTCTGCGTCTGAAGCAGACGGTGGCGAACCTGGGCTTGAGCATGAGGAGCCGCAGATGCCTGCAGCAACTCGGGCAACACCTGATTCTGCGTCTGAAGCAGACGGTGGCGAACCTGGGCTTGAGCATGAGGAGCCGCAGATGCCTGCAGCAACTCGGGCAACACCTGACTCTGCGTCTGAAGCAGACGGTGGCGCACCTGGGCTTGGGGCAACACCTGACTCTGCGTTCGAAGCAGACGGTGGCGAACCTGGGCTTGAGGAGCCGCATTTCCGTGCAACTCGCAAACATCTGACCCCAGGTCTACAGCTATCAGGGCGAACCTGGGCTTGAGCATGAGGAGCCGCAGATGCCTGCAGCAACTCGGGCAACATCTGACTCTGCGTCTGAAGCAGACGGTGGCGAACCTGGGCTTGAGCATGAGGAGCCGCAGATGCCTGCAGCAACTCGGGCAACATCTGACTCTGCGTCTGAAGCAGACGGTGGCGAACCTGGGCTTGAGCATGAGGAGCCGCAGATGCCTGCAGCAACTCGGGCAACACCTGATTCTGCGTCTGAAGCAGACGGTCTTGAGCGTGAGGAGCCGCAGATGCCTGCAGCAACTCGGGCAACACCTGACTCTGCCTCTGACGCAGACGGTGGCGAACCTGTGGTTGAAAATCAGGAGCCGCAGATGCCTGCAGCAACTCGGGCAACACCTGACTCTGCGTCTGAAGCAGACGGTGGCGAACCTGGGCTTGGGGCAACACCTGACTCTGCGTTCGAAGCAGACGGTGGCGAACCTGGGCTTGAGGAGCCGCAGATGCCTGCAGCAACTCGGGCAACACCTGTCTCTGCGTCTGAAGTAGACGGTGGCGAACCTGTGGTTGAAAATGAGGAGCCGCAGATGCCTGCAGCAACTCGGGCAACACCTGACCCAGCGTCCGACACAGATAGCGGCGAACCTGAGCTTGAGAATGAGGAGGCGCAGTTGCCTGCAGCAACTCGGGCAACACCTGACCCGGCGTCTGACGCAGATAGCGGCGAACCTGGGCTTGAGCATGAGGAGCCGCAGCTGCCTGCAGCAACTCGGGCAACACCTGACCCGGCATCTGACGCAGACGGCGGCGCACCTGGGCT